GAATCTTTCTGTCTTTCGCTCGCAGTCTGTTGCAAATAACTTAAAGTCCGTTTTAGGTCACAATGCTGTTGTGGGGTCAATGTCTGCTGCAAACATTGTCTCACTCTCGCTTTCTCTCTCGCCTCCCCACAGCGTGAAGCTACAACGTGGTGCAGTTTGTCGCCGCACGCAGCTCGAGGCAGCCTGTACGCTGGAACGGAGGCTGAGAAGTATCTCAGCCCGCTTGAAGCCTGTGCGACCGCGTTCTCGCAGCTGCCCTGGCTCTTACGTCGGGAGACGATTGGAGGAGGAGACGGAGACCTCACAGCAGTACGTCGTCAGCGCTTGCACGACATCGCCACTCATGACGACTGCCTCTAGCAGGTACGCTGTCCGCTCCCTCGTTAGCTCCCTTCGTTTAGCTTCCCTCGTTAGGCCTCCCTGTCGTTAGTCATTAGACGTTGCGAGGAGACGGAGCCCTCAGCAGTTACGAGTTATCCGCTCGCGCTGACGATGACATCGCCATCAGGGGAGAACTGCTCAAGCAGGTTACCTCGTCCGCCCTCCCTCAGTTAGCTCCCTCGTATAGCTTCCTTCGTTAGCACTCCCTGTCCGTTAGATCATTAGACGTTGCGAGGAGACGGACCTCCAGCAGTATGTCGTCCGGCCTGCACGACAATCGCATCAGAGACTGCCTCAACCAGGTAAGCGGCCTCGTCCGCTTCCCTCGTTATCTCCCCTCGTTAGCTCCATGTCATTACGTCTTAGACGGTCAGATGAGCAACATGCAGCAGATACGTCGGCGCGCTGCACGACATCTCCATCTGACGACTGCTCAAGCAGCGTACCGCTCCTCCGCTCCCCTCATTAGCTCCCCTCCGTTAGCTTCCCCTCGTTTAGCTCCCTGTCGTTAGTCAGTTAAGACGTCTGAGGATTTGACGGAACCTTCCAGGCAGTATGTCGTCGCGCTGCAACGACATCGCCATTCCTGAGAGGGGGTTTTCAAGCATGGTACAGCTCGATCCGCTACCCCTCTTAGCTCGCCTCGGTTAGACTTCCTCGTACGTTAGCTCCTGTCGTTATCATTTAGACGTCGCGATGAGACGGACCTGCCAGCAGGCTACGTCGTCTGCGCTGCACGGACATCGCATAATGAGACTGCTCACAGCAGGTACGCTTACATCCGCTCCCTCGTTAGCTCCCTCGGTGAGCTTCCCTCGTGATAGCTCGCTGTCATTAGTCAGCAAGTACGTCCGTTGCGCTGCACGACATCGCACATCATGAGAATCGCTCAAGACAGGTACGCCTCATCACCTTTCCTCGGTTTAGCTACCCCTCTTAGCGTTCCCTCGTTAAGCTCGCTGTCATTAAGTCAGCAGTTAGCCGTCGTTGACGGTCTGCCACGACATCGCCATCATGAGACTGCTCAATGCAGTACGTCGGCCGTCCCCCTCGCTGGAGTCGTTAGCTATCCTTCAGTTAGCTTCGCCTCGTTAGCTCGCTGCTATTAGTCAGCAGTACTCGTTGCGACTGCACGCACATCGCCATCTGAGATGCTCAAGCAGGTACTCGCTCAACATCACCTTTCTCTGTTAGCTCCCCTCGTTAGCTCGCTGTCATTAGAACGTCGGATGATGCACGGACTCCAGCAGTACGTCCGTCGCGCTGCCCACGACATCGCCTCATGAGCTGCTCAAGCAAGGTACGGCCTCGGTTCTACTTTCCCTTCAATCTAGCTCCCTGTCGTTAGCTCATTAGACGTCGGGATGAAGACCGGAACCTCCAGCAGTACCGTCGTCGCCGCTGGCATGACATCGCCATCGATGAGATGCTCAAGCAGGTACGCTCGATCCGCTCCCCTCATTTAGCTCGGCCTCACGTGTAGCTTCCCTCGATTAGCTCCGCTGTCGTTAGTCATTAGACGTCTGGATGAGACGGACTCACAGCAGTACGTCGTCGCGCTGACATGACATCGCCATCATGAGGACTGACTCCAAGCCAGGGTACGCTCGTCTACTTCCCTCGTTAGGCTACCCTCGTTAGCTTCCTCGTTTAGCCTCCCTGTCAGTAGGCATTAGACGGTCTGCAGGCGAGACGGACCTCCAGCAGATACCATTATGTCGTCGCTGCGCTGCACGACATTCTCCATCGTGAGAGCTTATGCTACAAGCAGTACGCTTCCGTCGCTGCCCCTCGTTAAGCCTCACCTCCGTTTAGTATCCCTCGTTAGCTCCTCCTCTGTCGTAGCAGTCATTAAGACCGTCAGAAGATGGAGACGACTCCAGCAGTATGTCGGTCGCGCTGCACAACTGGACGATCGGCCATCATGGAGATCTCAAGCCTAGTACGCTCGTCCTGTCCCCTCCGTTAGCTCCCTCTTAGCTCCATGTCATTAGTCATTAGACCTCTGACAGGACAGACCTGCCAGCCAGAGTACCGTGTGCAATCTTAACGCTTCAGTTTAGGAGGCTGTTCTTGTACGGCCGTCGTGTTTCTTTTCGCCCGGCACGGTTTCTTCGCAAGTGTACCAGACGATCGACGGTTTTCGCGCCATAAAACTTCTGCGGTCTTGCACGACTTCGCGACCCGTATTCCACGATCCCGGAGAGATCGATGGTTGCAAGCCTGGCCAAGCACAACGACGCTGCGTCGTGAGAAAGAGAGGGAGGGGGAGGGCGGAACGAGCACGACAGAGAGAGAGAGAGGAGGGATGGGGCTGAGGAGAGGAGACAGAAAGAGATAGAGGGGGGAGGGGCGAGAGAGACAGAGAGAGAGAGAGAGAGGGAGGGGATGAGGGAGAGAGACAGAGAGAGAGAGACGAGACAGAGCAACGAGAGGAGAGAGAGACGCAGCATGAGAGAGAGGACGAGGAGAGAGGTGGGAAGAGACAGCGAGCGATATCTCGCCTAGCGAGAGTTGACAAAGCTTGAGTCCCTGCTCGTTTTAGAGAGCAAAAGAATTCTGTGCTTAATGCAATACATGAAGATTATTATAGACTCGCAAGACCAAGAGTAGATAATGTTGCTCGTGAAATAGCAACTTTTTTAATCCCTTTACTTCTTGTACACTCTATGTATTATTAGCTTTGATATTGCTATTATGTCGGGTTCTTAGTTGGTTAGTGGCTGTTCATTGAATAATGTCATCGTAACAGTTTTTTTCCATGTTATTATCGGGAGTGTATCAAAACGGAGTACAGACAGGACTGAAACCGCAAATGACATTTAGTTAAGCTTAGTCATACCTAGAATTTGATTGTGTTACCTCGATAACTTGAGCTCAAGTCTTGCCTTATCATTCAAACGTTACTCCGTGTCTAATCGTTGGTCTCACAAAAATGACAATCGGAGATATCGGTCTAACGTACAATGTGGTTTTATCAATTTACATCGTTGTGAGCATCAGGAACCGAAAACGTAAGGCATCTCTATTGAAGAGCCTCTATCGCTAAGGGCAAATTGCAAACATGCAAGAACTAGCGAGGTTTTGCTATGGGATTTCGGAAAAGTTAAACACGACGTGGGTGTTATTGGATACTTTTACTTAGAATAAAAAATTTCCACATGTTTAGTATTTTTATCATTTTATTGTTCTTAACAAGTAATGTTATACATGTATTACTGTCATTACGACATGGCCTATAATAACACAAGGGTGTTTAACTTATTCGAAATCCTAGCAAACTCGCTAGTTCTTTCTATGTTGATGCATTCTTAGCGGATAAGAGGGCTTATCAAAGCATTGCACTTTATGATTTCGGCAGATTCACTGATCATCACAGGCGATGTAAATTGGCATAAACCCCATTGGTAACGTTCTAGACCGATATCTCCGATTGTATTTTTGTTTGAGTACCAACGCTTTAGACGACGGATACGTTTAATGATTAGAGGCGGACTTGACTCAAGTTTATCCGAGGGTATACACAATAAATCCTAGGTAGACTAGGATACTAATTGGGATTTTAGCCGGGTTTCAGTCTGTCCTTACTCAGGTGTGATTACACTTCCTGTTATTTATATTAGTTAGAATGATGTTGCTAAATATTGATTATTGTTGTCGCAATTTACTTGTCGTTATTTTATACCCAAATGTTCACTATGAGTGTGCCCATTTATTAGTTAGATATGAATTAGTAGCACGATTTTGCCGCGCAGCGGCGTTACCCGCGTAGTTATAATATAGAAAATATAAAATGTGAACCCTGCTAAATTGTAATTTTTCATTTTCATGGGTAAACACACAATGAAATGTTATCATGAAAAGAGGGTTACGCTGTCTGTAGCGTTTTCCACGTCCGGTAATGTTGCGTTAGATTATTAGCTCAAGAAAATCCCCGCGATACAGTAACGCGTGAGAGGCGGCTAGTCTCGAGTACTGCACGGAACTACCCTGGTTACTATATATCTAATATGCCGGACCGTACCTCGCGCTATCCACTAAACGAGTCTAGTGGTCGCCTCGCCTACTCCCTAACTCGAACCTAACACTTGAATCCTAACTCCCTAACCTAATCATTAACCCTAACGATATCAAATAGGACAGGGTACGCCTTCGATAACCTTGACGTTACCAAGGGTACGTTCCGGCATAGCTCAGTACGTCACGGAGAAGAAAGATATAAGCCCGTGGGTCGCTTGCGCAGTGGACAAGCGCGCAGGCCTGCAGAGGTGCGACGCATGGCCTGCCGGGCAGCGATCGCGGGCTAATAGTAGTTGGTAACGTGAGAGCTAGTTTCCGGCAGTACTCGGGGAACTAGCAATATCATCACCATCATCATCATCATCATCATCATCATCAGCAGCAGCAGCAGCAGCAGCAGCATCAGCACCACCACCAGCAGCAGCAGCAGCAGCAGCAGCAGCAGCAGCAGCAGCAGCACCGCCGCCAGCAGCAGCACCATCACCAGCACCACCATCACCAGCAGCAGCAGCACCACCACCACCACCAGCACCAGCAGCAGCCATAGCAGTATATTACGCTCACTGCCGCATGCACACTCGCACGCGTGCACGGCTCACCTCTCGGGCGTCTGCAGGTTGTCTAGATCGTCGACCAAGTCGCTGACCCAGTTTGTGTCGCCGGCGATCGCCTGAGACTCATTACGCGCCTCCTCCGTCTTGTCCTCCGCCAGCTTCAGGTAACCTCTGACCACATCCTCCAACGACTTCACATTCACCTGTAATCAAGCAATTTACCCACCTGAAGTTGCAAAGATTTACGTGCGAATCATAAAGAGCATGGCAACAGGAAGAGTTTGGGTCCCCGGTGGATATGTATAGTTCGCATATGAGCGAAACTAATCCGGGAGGCACTAAACTAGGACTGGGCCGATATTTCTACGTCGGAAAACTTTTTTTCTCGTGGAAGAGCCCCCACCTGTTGGCAGATGATCTTGTACTGGTACAGGCCTTCCTTGGCGATGTGACTCTTCTTGAGTTCGACGCACAGCTCAAGGTATTTCTCCATGATCGGCTCGTGGATCTTCTGCCACGTCCGATGCTTCTTGCTCTTGATGACATCGTAGAGGGCGTCCAACGCACGCTGCTTCTTGCCCACATCGATGAACTCTGTAAAGACAGAGTCGTGAGCGAGAATGAAATGGGACTGTTTTTCGTTTTTATAGAAAACAAATACAAAAAGCCCGCGGGATAAAATGCTGGTTTGGGACATCCAACATTTTCGTAAACATGCTAAACTAGGATTGGGTCTAAATTCAATGGGGGTACCCGGGTAGGGTGTTAGATTCTGCACACCACCTACGTACTTGATTAAGTTCAAGATAGAATCAAAGTAGCTCTAGTACTATATAGCCCGCGTACATTGACTGCCGCAGGGCTCTAGTAGTAGTACTACTACTAGTACTAGTACTAGAGCTAGAATCAAAGTTGATAAACTACTCCACTTGTTGACCTCCAACAAACTCGGTAATGCAACCTACCTATAGATTGTCATTGCTAAAAATTTCAATCGGTTTACCTCTACAACTAATAGGACTGTGGGTTTTGTTGATTATGGTAGCAATGATCACAAACGATATGTCCTTAAAAAGACGGCTGCATGATTAGCAGATTAGGGTAGGCCTACTTCGTCTGCGAGACACGAGTTTCATTTGACTGAAACATATGCAAGAAGATTTAAGCAAATATATCATACCATTCGCTCTTTTAAGAGCATTTTCCGGTCGTTGAAAGTACAACGGCATCTTTCCTGGTCTTACGAGTTCAGTTTAATTGTACTTTACGTGTTATACACTAAAAACATTTAGACAAAATTGGTCGACATGCCAAATGCTTTCTCAACAATATGGCGACAGCACACGGGTGACGAGCGCATTGACTGTAGACGATCCCCTTATTGCTGCATAACGTGTACTCACAAAGTTGAAACAACTGCGATGCCCATCTAAAAGTAAAACTTGCTATTTAGGGCATACTTTTTTGCTGCAATATTCCAATAAGCATTTAGACATTCAGTTTAATCTTTAAATCAATTTTAAATTTTTAGGTAAATCAATCATGCATTCGCCTTATATTATAGTCTGTGTAATTAGATAAATTAACTGCAACCACGATAAATTCGACGTTTTGGTATCTGGGACCCCATAAGACACAGTTAAATAATTTAGCGACAGGTGGCAGCATATGTTTTGGTGGTAGGTTTGAAAAGTAAACACTTATTTTTAGCTTTGATTTTTAGGATTGTAATTTGGAGTAAAATTACACACTGCTATTTATGCCAGACTCAAGTTTAATTGTATACATTAACGTCATTATCTGGAAAATATTATTGATAATGTTTAAACTGTTATTTTGGATTGTTATTCGTTCCCTCAACTCAAGCTCAGACCGACAGACGTGAGTCATACTCAAAGTCATACTCATCATCATACTCATCATACTCATCATCATCATACTCATCTCAGTCATACTCATAGTCATAGTCATACTACACTTTATGTATACACTGTTTGAACTGTGTACAGTACGTCATGTAATCTTACGTGTTCTATGTCTGTGTCTGTGTTCTGTGTTTACGTCACGTGTTCTGTGTCCTGTTCTGTGTCCGTTGAAGTAACACATCACATTATGACACATAATACTAATAGTCACAGATTAATCCACACAGTCATTAACTCCACACATTAATCTGAAAAGCGATCGTGTTTTGTCGGATGCTTTATAGGCTGATCTTACCCAAAAAGTCGCACAGCCTCCAACACTCAGTCTCTAGTCACATCTAGCAAGAACGCGGGTCGCCCGGTTGCCATGGAAACTCCCGGGCGGTTGACGCGTCGTTCGGCCGCGGCCCCGCGACCGTTCCCCGCTACGCCGGCGCGCCGTCCGGCTCTCACGCCCATGCAGATCGAGTTGATGCAGAATCTAAAGTGTCGGCTGGCGCCACCTGCCAACGGGGCGGACAACGGCGGCGGCCCCAGCAAGGAGAACTGCAATCCGAAAGTCAGCCCCACGCTGGAAAAGCTACGAAACACGCCGGGTGGGTGGGTCACGAGCGCGCGGGTCGGTGGTGGGGAGGGTGAAAAAAATTTCATTCTTCCGTTGCCGAAGTTGCTAGAGAGCGGTTGTGTAGGTGATCTTTGAGACGTTTTGGTCTTTTGCACTTGAATTCAAACAGTAGTGTATATATACTACTGATTATGAGAATGAATTACTATATGCAGCGTGTGGCAGTAAAGGATGGCAATTTCTCTCTGTGTTTGTCTCTCTCTCTCACTTTCTCACTTTTTCTTCTTTTTTTTTTTATTTATATGTATAAATATATATATATATATATATTTATTTATTTATTTATTTATCCCGTAGCTGTTGTGCGAACGAAGAGAGAAGTTCTCCTGAAGAAGCACTCTGTGGCCCGTGAGAGGACCGACTCACTCTGCGTTGGCGGGGGTGTCAGCATCTGGCCTGAGATGGACGCCATGAGGCTCACGCGCTATGAGGCGCTGCAGCTCGCAGTCGGTAGCGTCAGTCTAGCCCTTGTCACGTACAAGTTATTCTTCTGGCTGCATGGTGAGAGAAGATTCTTACTGTACAGTTTGTAATTGGGGATCGTACGTTAACATAATTAAAATTTCGGATGATGACGTGCGGAACTCGTTTTACGTTTGTCAAGATTGGTGATAGATTGCTTACTAACTATCATTTTCTTTAGAGAAAAAACGTGTTTGAAGTAACAATTGATTTGCAACCGTATTGAATGTGAAACAACTCGTATCGTGCCACAGAGATATCACGTTGTGTCTTTCTTATGTACAGCGATGGGTAGAGTTTTGACATGGACAGATGGACTCGTGCCAGACGTCATATATCTTATATGATACGTGACTCATGACAGATGTCACAGATATTGCATGTCCCTTTCCAGGGCAAGCGCTGGCCAGTCTTCAGCACTATCTTAGCGTCGTCAGAGGATTTCACGAGCAGCATGAGATTTCGACGATCGACGATGCTGACTTCTCCACTAGCGTCCTGGCCTGGCACGAGGACTACCGGAAACTTCTGGTATATTCCAAACATGGCCGAGGCTTCCGTCTTCTGCTTTCAGCGGTTTAATGTTCGTAAAATGAAAGTAGAAACCTTGTTCTTACGTGTCAGAAAGTTTTTGGTAATGTTCCGCGGACTTTCGTGCGGGCCTCGAAGTTTAGAATCGTGCTTTCGGTTTAATTTTGGCATTGGTTTAACTCTTAATTTAACGAGCATGTCTATTTCACTTTCGCTTGATGTTATTGTGGTTTATGAGTTCAGAATTGTGCTTTCGGTTTAGTTTTAGCTTAGGTTAGTCTCTGGATTTAGCGAGTGTGTCTATATTTCACTTTTGCTTGCCGTAAATGTGGTTTGTTAGTGGCAATCTGTTCTCGGTCTTTGAACGATAGCTTGCTTTACGTGTCGGCTGCGGTGTTATTTCAGCGGGAGATATCTACGCGCTTTCACGTCAGCCTGCTCGACAGCGAAACAAACTACAAGCTGTGCGCCATGTTGTACGTGGTTGGCATAGCAACACTTCTCTTCTACCTTACCGATAGCATGGTTGCTAAGAGCAAGCTCACTCCTCGCAGAATCAAGAAATGGTAAGTGTGGTCGACTCGGTGTTGTCCATTACGAAGCTGATCTCATTGTAGTGTTTTGTGTAATCAATATAAATATTGCTGATCCTTGCATGAGTATATTTGTTGCTGAAACTGCACATGTTAGAC